CGCGATAATTTTTATTGGGGAGGGTCCCCCAACCCGCTAGGCACATATTCCAAGTGGAATGGAGTCGGTTGGTGCATGCGTGTCCGTGCACCNGAATGCGGTGGTGGTGCACGAACAGGCATGCATCAACCGACTCCATTCTACTTGGAATATCTGCCTAGGGGGTTGGGGGACCCTCTCCAATGAAAATTGTGACGGTGCATTAATTAGGCTATTTTTAATTAATTTTTTAAGATTCATTTCTCCCAACTTCCGGTGGACAAAATGGTGGTGCACGGACACGCATGCACCAACCGACTCCATTCCACTTGGAATATGTTACTGAGGGGTTGGGGGACCCTCTCNATTAAAAATACCCTAATTAGTGCACCGTCACAATTTTTATTGGAGAGGGTCCCCCAACCCCTCAATAATATATTCCAAGTGGAATGGAGGCGGTTGGTGCGTGCGACTCCGTGCACCACCATTTTGTTCACCGGAAGTTGGGAGAAATGAATCTTAAAAAATTAATTAAAAATCCCCTAATTGGCGCACCGCGATAATTTTTATTGGGGAGGGTCCCCCAACCTCCTAGGCATATATTTCAAGTGGAATGGAGTCGGTTGTTGCATGCGTGTCCGTACACCACCATTTTGTTCACTGGAAGTTGGGAGAAATGAATCTTAAAAAATTAATTAAAAATACCCTAATTAGTGCACCGTCACAATTTTTGTTGGAGAGGGTCCCCCAACCCCCTAGGCACATATTCCAAGTGGAATGGAGTCGGTTGATGCATGCGTGTCCGTGCACCCCCACCGCATTCACCGGAAGTTACACAAAATGAATCTTGAAAAATTTATTAAAAATCCCCTAATTGGTGCACCGTCACAATTTTTGTTGGAGAGGCTCCCCCAACCCCTCAGTAACATATTCCAAGCGGAATGGAGTCGGTTGGTGCATGCGTGTCCGTGCACCACCATTTTGTTCACCGGAAGTTGGGAGAAATGAATCTTGAAAAATTAATTAAAAATACCCTAATTGGCGCACCATCACAATTTTTGTTAGGGAGGGGACCCCAACCCCTCAGTAACATATTCCAAGTGGAATGAAGTCGGTTGGTGCATGCGTGTCCGTGCACCCCCACCGCATTCACCGGAAGTTACACAAAATGAATCTTTAAAACTTAATTAAAAATCCCCTAATTAGCGCACCGCGATAATTTTTGTTGGGGAGAGTCTCCCAACCCTCTAGCTACATATTCCAAATGGAATGGGGTTGGTTGGTGCATGCGTGTCCGTGCATCACCATTTTGTTCACCGGAAGTTGGGAGAAATGAATCTTAAAAAATTAATTAAAAATACCCTAATAGGTGCACCGCGATAATTTTTGTTGGACAGGGTCCCCTAACCCCTTAGGGACATATTAAAAATAAAATGACATCGATTGGTGTATGCGTTTATTGCACCCCTATTGACCGCGTAAAAACTTATAAAAATAAAAAAAATATCATGAAATTCCTCCTCGAGAAATCATTCCCCACCCTCGTCATACATTAAGAAATAATAATAATAAAAAAAAAATTGTTCGATTGTTTTTTATCATTTAATTTGTCTGGGAGGAGGTTTAAACTCGTGGCTATCGATGTAGCGTTGAGCGAGCGGCTACGGTGGGAGCCGTACAGTCCGCCTCACAAACTATACCCATCTCCCGCTGAACTGCTCCCGCCAGCTTCAGCCTCATCTAGAAATTTCATACATCATTAGGGAAACTGAGTTTTTTTCATCTCTGAGAAAATCCATCATTTTCTAGAAAATTCCGAGAGACCTCCAGAAAGTTGTGGAAAATTCTAGAACTTTCTGCGTTTCATCCGCTCGGGGGATTGATTTTTAAAAGAAGGAAAAACACGGGTCTATCAATTTCGAAAGAGAAATCTACACATGAATTTTCAAGTCTCTAACTTGAGCGGTTTTCGGTCAAGTACTACATCAGTACAGACGTTCTCCAAATTTTCGCTCCTTTAACATCAATAGTTTGTCTATGACATATGACAAAAGCTCAAATCTTTGAAAAAAATTTTCCCCCTATAGATGATGATAATACATAACTTTTTAGGGGTATTTTAAAATGAGAAATCCACATGGAGGTAAGGGAAAAATTTTCTGTACATGGAAAATTCGATTTTTCGATCATAAATTAGGAAAATGACTTTTAGGTGTCGAATTTTTCACATTCACAAAGGTCCAACGATAATGAGGATTAACGGGAAGAGGTGGATAGGACCATCACATAGGTCGAATGATCATAAATCGAGTGAAAAAATTGAAAGTCTATCCCGTCGTATCTTACGAGGGTCAAACGTCGCCATGGCCATACTTTTTGAGGGCCGAGCGTTGCAAGAATCCTACCTCACAAGAGTCATGCCTCAGGAGGGTCAAACGTCGCCAGGGTCATACCTCACAAGGACCATAACTGGAACGGTTGAAACGATCGCAAGAGCCAAACAACAAAGGCCGGTAAGACAATCTCGAGGTTCAAACGGCCACAGGGACAAACAACGAAGGCGGGCAGAACAGTCTCAAGATTCGAACGATCACGAAGGTCAACAGGAGGACAGGTAGGACAATCACAATTGACAAACGATCATGAATCGAGCGAGATAATCACACTGAGAAAAATATATAATACTGTCGATCAAATTTGTTTCAGACAAACAAATGCTCAAAATTTCCAAACAAAATTTCACTATAAATTCTTGTCTGAAACAAATTTGATTGTCAGAATTATATTTTTTTCTCAGTGCAGAAGGTTCTCCCAGTTGACCTTTGTGATCGCTTGGCTGTTGTGATTGTCTTCTATCCTTACCTCTCCCATTCTAACCTAGTGATTATGCTGCCTGACTCTTACAGTTAACTCTCTTATTTATTTAACACTTAGCGTTGTTCTGCCTGTCTTCATTGTTTGACGCTTGTGGTCGTTTAAACCTTGATATTGTCCTGCCAGTCTCTGCTGTTCGACCCTTGCGATCGTTTTACCCTTGCCAGTTATGATCCTTTCGACATTTGACTCTCGTGAGGTATGACCCTGGCGAAGTTTGACTCTCATTACGCATGACTCTTGCGAGGCTGGATCCTTGCGATCCTTGATCCTCAAAGAGTACGACCATGGTGAAGTTTGACCGTCGTGGGATACAACAGGAGAAGCCTTCAATTATTCCACTCGATTTATAATCATTTGACCCTTGTGATTGTCGTACTCACCTCTTTCAGTTAACCCTTACTTTATCGGACCTTTGTGATTGCGAAAAATCGGACCCCTAAAAGTCATTTTTCTTATTTATGAGCAAGTCCATATGGATGTTCCATTTTAAAATATCCCCAAAAAGTTATTTATTATCATCATCCATCGAGGAAAAAAAATTATTCGATTCTCGTCTGGCCTCTGCGTAACAGCGGAATTCGAATAATAAGAAACTTGAAAAATAGCTTATTATTTATTCTTGTGGTACTGTCGTATTTTTATTCGGACAGTATATCAAAAAACGAAGAAAATCTTTTTTTATTCATCGAAATCCGTCAATTAGTTCGCTAGATATGATTTTTCAACGATTTGAGCTTTTGTCATATGTCATAGACAAACAATTGATGTTAAAGGAGCCAAAATTTAGAGAAAGGTTGTCCTTATGTAGTACTTGATAGTGAGCATACCAATTCAGTATTCTGAGAACCAAAAAAATTCAAGGTAGCTGAGTTTATATGGAATGTCCCATATAAGACAAAAAGCGGTTCAAAATTTTTCAAGTACAAGAACCTTGCTGTTGCACTTGGTAGTGAATTCGCGATAACGTCGAATCGTCCATTCTAACTCGTCGGACAATAAATTACATTAGTTTTACCCCTACTTTGTAACTGGTATAAGCAAGAGTTGAGCATAAACATATGCAGTAACGTAGTGATCGTCGGTAGTGACGCCTCATGAGTCACGAGTTTCGATTGATTATACTAGTGTTTGTTATCGCTTGTGCAATTTTTTATAATTGATGAGATCCCTTGAATTGAATGAATGATCATGACATCAAGTAGTGAGATAATTCCTGGAGGAAGATCGAAATTTTGGCCTCAATGGCTTGCTGCAGCAACAAGTGAGTAAATTGATAGAAAAATCCTCATTACGAAATTTAGAGACTAATTTATCTTCTTGCAGTCCATATACTTGCTCTCCTGTGTGGAATGGTTGGTGGATGGGCTTCGCCATATCTAGCAAAATTGACAGCGGGAACTGAATCATTGACCATAACTAGTGCAGAAGCATCGTGGATTGCCTCTTTACTTCATTTGTCTCGACCAATCGGATCAATTGTTGCAGCTGGGATAGTACACAAATTGGGGGCTAGAAACGGAATGCTGATCGCAGGAGTACCACACGTTGTCGGATGGACATGCTTTCTGATAAAAGAATCAGTTCCTTGGGTTTACGCCTCGAGGGTGTCCGGCGGCTTCGCAATGGGGATGTATTTGATCAGTTTTCCACATTATATAGGTGAAATAGGAAATGAAAAGATCAGAGGTGCTCTCATCGCTCTAGTAGCTCAGGGACAAGCCATTGGATATCTATTAGGAAATTTGATGGGTGCATATCTAAGCATGAAAAATTTTGCCATTATAAATTTGATACTCAACGCCATTTTCTTAGTTAGCTTTTTTTTCTTTCCGAATACTGCTTATTATCTTGTAAAGAGAAGCAAAATCGAAGAGGCCAAAAAATCACTAAAATGGTACAATCGCCAGAATGATGTAACAACTGAGTTAGAAGCAGTGAAAGAATACATGGGAAAACCCCAGAAATTGACGTTTAAAGAATCATTTAAACGTTTGTCAACCCCACTGAATCGAAAAACATTGGGAATGGTCATTTGTGTTTATCTGTTTATGCAACTCAGTGGCATTTACACAATCGCACCGTACCTAGAAATATTGTTGACGACTTTGAAAATAAATGTCATTGCTCCTTCTCTAGTGGTGATATGCGTGAGTATAGTTGCAGTTATTGGCGGTCTTTTGGCGATCTACACGAATGATCACTTCGGGAGACGAAGCATGCTCGCAGTCTCAACTATGGGAGTTTCAATCACCTTTGTCCTCATAGGTGTCAATTATTTATTGCTCAGAAACGGTTATGACATTTCAAATTTCCAATGGTTTATAATCACGGAATTCATGATGTTCATATTTTTCCTAAATATCGGACTTACGAATATTCCTAGTTGTCTCTTGAGTGAACTCTTCTCTCCAGAACTCAAAGAAATTGGCTCATGCATAGCGAATGTTGTATGCTCTTTATCTGCATTTATCGCAACTAAAAGATTCCAACCCCTATTAGATTCTACATCCGAAGAATTCATATTCTTCTTGCATGCTTTCCTTGTATTTCTCATGTTCGTCTACACAATTATCGTAATTCCTGAAACAAAGGGAAAAACGCTTCAAGAGATCCAGACAATGTTGATGAAGAAAAAGAAACCCAGGCCTATTGTACAAACTCATCGATCCATTGAAAACGATTAATATATATTATTACGCTAGTAAGTTTTCTTTATCTTGATTCATAATGAATAAAAATTTCAAATTTGAGAATGTGTTCCGATTTTCAATGGGTATTTAATATAGCTTCTCACCATACTGTCAACAAATTTTAGCCGACATTTCCGATACACTTTTTAGAAATTTCTATCCAGTAACCGTTTCACTTGAATTGCACGGAAATTGGAAAACAGCAAGTTACTGGCCCCAATTTCAAATTATTATTTCGTGGAAATGAATAAAAATTAGGAACATTTTGGTAAATATATTCTTAAGTGTAACATTGATGTTTTTGGTTGCAAAGTCAAGCGATTTGAAGTAAATTTCCAGTGAAATTGGAAATTTGATCATTTTTCTCCTCATAAATTGCATTCAATATCGTTCTTTTGATAATTCCTACTACACTGTCTATAAAATTCTGATTTTTTTCTACCAGTCCATCTGCAAAATTTTATCCTTTTTTCATGACAATGTAAAAAGAAAATGTAAATCTGAGGAAATAATTCTTTCCAGTAACTTCAGTAAGACGCTATACACATAACTCGTCTTTTCTCACGCGCTCAGAACGAGTTTTATAGTGATAATTCAAATGTGCCAATTGTCAACAATTAATAATTCCTATTTTCAAAGATGTATCCAAGAATCATCTGAGAAATCATATTAGCAAATCATATGCGTGTCATCAACTGGTTTTTATTTTATTGGCGGATTTTCTTTACAGTCCCTTATGTCTACTGTTTGCCCTCCGTGCAAGGACTTTTCTAGAATATTTCATCCGATGCAACATTGTTAGATACGTTGAATCATAGAACCTGTACCACTAAGATGCATCATATTAGCTCGTTGATTCGGTTGATTGTCAATATCCGTGAATTATGTAGCCCTGAAGTATGAATGTGAAACAGAAAAGTTTTGCTGCAATGAACGACACCAGGTAAAGCCGTCGCCTTGACTCATTCGGTAACGCGCTTGCTTTCTCAGACAAGACATTTGGAACGGATATGGTTCGAGTACAGTCGCGTGCGGTGATTTGTTCGCAACTTTCAACACGAGGGGATTCTGTGACTGGGAGCGAAACAGGGGCCGGAAGGGAGGAGGCAGAAGGAGAGAAGAAAAGCGGCGAAAGTAAGGAGGTAAATAGAGGTGAGGATTGAGAGAAGGAGAAAGAGAAGGTGGAGAATGCCAGAAAAGATAACTGATAGATAAAAACTGGGAGAGTGGAGAAAAAATGTTCTTCTCCACGACGAAAGGAGTAGACGGGAAAAGGCAGTGGAGAAAGCAGAAATGGATAGGATAGAGAAGGAAGGTGCGGCAGGAAAAAGAGGAAAAGGAACTGGGAGTCTAGGAGAAGAGAGGACTATACCCTCCCCCTAGTAGGAGTTGCGGGCGAAAGGCAGTGGAGAAAGGGGAAATGGGGAGGACAGAGAAGAAAGGAGACGGAGAAGTAGCAGGAATAGAGAGGTGTAAGAGAAGGAGAGAGCGGAGAAGCGAGCGGAAAGGAGGAAAGATAGGTTTAAGTAGAATAGAGTTGAGGATGTAAGGAGGAGGGTGTATATGATATTGTAGCGTATTTGTTCGTTTCCTCTGTCTCAACTAAATTCATGTACGATCGTCTCTTTTTTTTCGTCACTCTTGCATCTTTGTTCTTAGTCTGCGGATATGTCACTTCTTTTTGCATCTTTTATTCATTATTCTTTTCGCCTATTTTGTTTAATAAACTAATTTTTTATTTAAACGGTGACTTATTTAACAATATATACATGTAACCCTTAGGGGAATAATCATTCCATGTTGAATGATGATGGACGTTAATTGGCTTAAGCGGTCGTCAGCACTTCGAGGATAATTAAATAATTAAAATGAGAAGAAGAGTTCTTGTCGATGATGCAATGTTTCGGCTTCCAGAGAAGCCCTTATCACGGGATTCTCTATTCTTTTAATAAACTGTACAAATAAATAAAAATAGAAAATTGCAGTCATGATATTGAAGAAACCGCGGTCTAAACCATATTTGAAGATTTGAATAAAGTCAATGTATACGGTATATATTAATCAGAAGTACATCATTAAAAATAATAATACATGCCAAGTTGGAGGTTATATGTGCCCAGGAGCTATTAAATATATGTCCCAGGTAACGCGATATTTTAATGGTACTCTGGTTCAATATTAAACATTATTAGACCCTACATCCAGACTCTCATTTATAAGATTCGAACGTTATTTTTATCTCATATATGAACCCCACTTGTAAAACCTCATTTATCTGACTTTCAGGCCAACCCTTATTTTCTGACCCTTCCTCCGACCTTCTTATCCTGACCCCTGTTCCAACCGTCATTTTTTACCCTTATCTCAAATTTAAATTGTCATGTTCAAAAATCATTCACTCAAATCTAACACATTTGCAACCTTCAATAGAAAATTATTTTCATAGGACTTCATCATTGTTAATAATAATCCGCATTAAAAGATCACCAAAATTGAGAAATGACTGACTTTTAATCGCTATTTCACCATTTTTCTTCCTGAATGATGACACATTTGCCACCTGTGGAATGAATAAAGTCGATGAAAGTTACGATAATCCACGTTGTTGCTAACTGATCAACAAAAATCTGAGTGTTGCACCACGCGATTGAGTGGGTCATCACAGTTAAATTCATGAATCAAATCAGGTTTTCCTCTATTTAGGAAAACTTCATCGGGTAATTTGCAAAAAGCCGATCCCACACGTGATGATTATTCGAATAATAGTAGAGTAATGGTCGAACGAAATTATACAGCGATACTGCATCCTGAAATAGAGAGTACTGTCGGTGTCAAAAGTAGAGACCACTCGAAATAAACGTCTATAACTCAGTGAAAAAAAATCGTAAAAATGAGACCAAATACACTGTGTAATATAAGTATTTCGCTTGCCCAATACGGAGTTTCAAGTTTTTAATTTGATTGGTTTATTTATAATCGCTTTGAGAAGCCGAAAACCCCCCCGATTTTCAGGGTCCGTAAAAGTCGGCAAACTTTGAACCGCTAGCAAACGTACGGAATTTTTTTTTTTAAATCGTCAATTTTTTCAGTGATTTGTATAACCCCTGAGAAGCCAACCAGGGAAGAAAAAGATCGAAATTGCGATAATTATTCATTTTATTTATAGAAATGTCGACTGCGGCTATTTCGTTGT